AGGGTGTAGGGCTCAGGACTTGGGGTCACTTGGGGCTTGAAGTTTGAGGCATAGGGGGTCCATGGTTTAGGGTAGGGATTGGCGGATCGTGTCCATGCAGGATGGCGATGGTTTAAAACCATGTCGTAGTCGTCGTCGTGGCAGCGGCAGCCGCTGTAGTAGTCGCAGTAGTGGTACTGGTAGTGTCAGTCGTGGTGGAACACTCCTCCGCAAGACCCTAAACCTTAAATCCTAGGTTCGGGCTGCCCTTCTAGTAAGTCTTACAGAACCTCTGTAACAACCCTTCAAAGGAACCCCTTTTTCTGGTTCAATGCCGAAACGACCCAGCCCCCGATCTGCTCCCGAGGACAAGGAGGCAGTGAAGACCGAGTTTCCAGAGAACACCCGTGGGTGCAGTGCCCGGGGGGTTTAGGGGGTGGTCTTGGGTTTATGGGGTTTAGGGTTTAGGGGTTTGGGGGTGGTCTTGGGTTTAGGGTTTAGCTACAATGACCGAAACACGAGGCTCCAACTTCAGCAGGAGCAGCATTTCTAGCCGTGTATCAAAGGGTGGAACGTCTGACATAATCCGCATATGTAGGCCTGGCCATTCTCCGGGATGTGTAGATTAGCATAGGCGCGCATACTCCTTGACACCCGGTCTGTGGCATAGGGCGCCCAGGCTACGTTGTGCATGGCTGCATTACTTCCGGATTTGATTTCCAGCGCAGGCCGCTAGTTTCAGGTCCTCCTGCTTCTAGTGAGCTACTCGTAAGCGTCCTGGGGCTTGAAAGCCAGATTTGGCAGGCTGCATCCATCTACATAGATGGCTTAATAAAAGCTGTACGCCGGAGACAACACTGCAGCCTGAGCCGTGCAAGCCAGATTTTTTTAGAGACGAACAAAGCAGTACAGCGATATCCGATAGACTTTGAACAAATCAGAACTGGCAGAGCATATAGGGCCACTGCAGAAGCTGCATCCTAAACTCCGACCGCCCGTCGAGTGGGACAGCACGAGGCGGTCAGATGCCGGAAGAAGAATGCAAAAAAACACCCGAATCAACGTAGTACAGACAGCCGACAGCCCAAACCAAGGGTTCGGATGCTGGTCCTTGGCTCCAACATGGGTACCTACGAGTTGAGGAGCCCTGGCCATGATTCGTGGGTTTGGGGTCCACTAGGGCACACTCTGTTGGGCTAGATGACTGGAGACCTGGCCGACTCTCGTTCTTTCGGTGGCTGTAGCTTGCCTTCCCCAAAGCCTGCTGCCCTTGGGCAAAGAAAAGCTTAGGCTGATCTTGTGTCAGTGTTTCTCCCCGGCGCGAACCACAAAAAAAGACGGGCATTGGCGAGAATCCAACACTAACATTCACACCAGTGGTGGGCAACAGCAAAGATGTTAGCCCTAGTCCTGGTCACACATAGATACGTTACTTCAATAGAAAAATATTGGCACTGATACACGACAAAGAACGAGGCTGACGAAGCCACAGGCACTAACGGTCACTAACGCATCCAAGACGATTCAATCAACGCTCACACAGTTCATCAGTCCCAGGACGCTGCCCCTGTTCCTTCGCATTCCCATTCCGCCCTACGCTGTTCACGAGGCCCGCGCACTGCAAACTTCCAGCATGCTTACTAGCTGAGTTGGTGACCGATGAATACTCCAGCGAGGGAACTCAGCATCTAGGCAGATGTCCTTCCAGCTCCCTTTGCCTGACAGTACCCGGGATTTGGATGCCGCGCGTCATGTCAGTGTCATGCTACTTTCCGTCGTGCCCGTAGTCCACTGAACCTCCTCTGCATCGACAGTAAGAAGAATCGGATCAACCAGGAACCTGTGATCAACCTGGTTGCAGCGGAAGACACCTCTTCTAGGGCTTTCCCCCTTGACGCACGGATGAGAGCAGGACCAACCATCTTGTATGTAGGACCGGTACGATGTGCTGTGACGCTGTTGCTCCTCTTGTCAGTAAATCAGGAGTCCGGCTTGGGTTGTCGAGGCTTATATCTCTTGCTCCAGTTATCCAGCTCAGGAGCTGCATCGGCTGCCTTAGCTTGTTGCTGGTCATTCAATTCAGGGGTCGGTTGGGCATGGGTTGCAATGCTTTCACCCGATGGAAAGCTGCAGGCAGACTCTTTTTTTGTTCAAGAAGCTTCATAGCACAAGCATTGCACTGTGTTCTCCACACCGCCTTTGGCTAAAGATCATGGAGTCTGATGGGCTATTCAGCTGCCGTTGTTTCGAAGGTCTCCGCGGGATACTGGAAAGCAAGTCCGACAAGACAGAAGCATCCGGCCAAGATCGCTTTGATCTACAAGATCCAGATGCTTTGGCGCGATTTCTTCAAGGAGCAGACGTGCGATTGGCGCGGTACACGTGGCTCAGAGACTTGATGTGCAACCAACGCCCGCTGCCTCGTCGTCAGGAAGCGGACTCCGAGACTTTCACTGTCGGCCGTGAGACTCGAAGTGCCTTGGTGTCCCATGAGGAAATCAGAGACTGGGCTTATCAGGCACTCGCCAAGCTGTGATCTGCTCCATCTCACATGCATGGGAAACAAGGGAACACCCAGATCCCTGTCGATACCAGTTGGAGCAGATCGTGAGCCATGCTGCGTTGTACTGAGCAGCCTTCGATGCAGAGGTTTGGGTATTCTACGATTTCGTTTCACTCTTCCAATTTAGGAGGGCTCCGGATTCCGAGGAAGAGCGGAGCTTTCGACAAGCCATGAACAACATGCATGTCCTGTATGCCCACGAATGCACATTGACCTTCAGAATCGAGAGCCTAACACCAGATGACGTTTGGGAAGCAACGAAAAAGAACGAGCAGGAGCAGGTTCCGGTGTACGACGTCGAAAGCGGCGGTGTCCAAAGAAAGCCCTTGAAGGCCCTAGTTGAAAACAGGAACAAGTACACAGATCGCGGATGGTGCAAGGCAGAGGTAGAATGGTCCTCTCTGAGGACGCTCAACTCGCAGCACCAACGTATCGACGGGATCCACACTCGAGAGACCGGCTCCGATTCTCTTGGCAGCAAAATGCTCAGTGGCAGGATACCCACCACGCCCGAAGAATTCAGAGTTGAAATGGTGCAGGCTGCGTTCACTCACAGGAGTGATGCGGAAAGTGTCATCCGTCTGCAGGAAAAGATCTTTCTGGAAAAAAGTTTTGGCCTGTAAAGTGTTGGTCTTGGAAGGCCTTCCAGCCAGCGAGATGCAGGCTTTGGCGCAAGCACTGCCAACTTACAAGAAGCTCAAGCATCTGACCGTCAAGACGTACACATGTGGCGAGCAAGAAGCGAGGTCTCTGTCAGAGGCCCTTGCACAGATTGATTTAGAGACGTTGGCAGTTGCTAATGGTTTTCGCGGCGACAAACAGGGCGTCCGTGCGATGGTCAAGGCAATCGCAGCCGTGCTCAAGAGAGACCTTTCGATCAAAAGCATCGACTTGTCTGGTAATTCCTTGGATGATGAGGGTGCGGAGGCTTTGGCAGCTGCGCTACAAGTCAACAAGTCTGTCAACAGTATAAGCATGTCGATGGGCAATATACGGTTAGAGGGTGCCAAGGCTGTTGCAGCCGCGCTTGAGAGAAACACGTCCGTCGCAAGCATCGACATCAGCGCACATAACATGGGTGACGAGGAAGCCAAGGTAATAGCAGCTGCGCTCAAGACTAATCAATCGATCAAGCACATCGACTTGTCTCACAACTCCATCGGCTTGACGGGAGGGGAGGCTTTGGCAGCTGCGCTACAAGTCAACAAGTCCATCACAAGCATGAACATGTGGATGAACCCCAAAGCTGCAGGGGCTGTTGCAGCCGCGCTTGAGAGAAACAAGTCCGTCGCAAGCATTGATGTGAGGCAAGCTGACATGGCTGCAGAGGGCTGCAACGAGACACAAGGCAGTGGGCAGCTCTCAAATCGGATGCCTTTTCAAGCGCCAATCCGTCTTAAGGGGCTTGCTAAAGCTCTGAAGGCCCACAATTTCAATGGCATAAACTGCTGTTACGAGCATCTCAGCGACCAGGATGTGCAGGCACTCGCTGAAGTGCTAAAGGTGAACAAGTCTACAGCTTTCATCAATTTGCAACAAGTCCAGATGAGCCGAGAGGGCGCGAAGGCTGTAGCAACGGCGCTTCAGACCAATGAATTTGTCAGAAATGTTGACTTGCGCTATAACCAGATCCATGACGAGGGCGTCAAGGCACTTGCAGAAGCGCTCAAGGTCAACAAGTCTGTAGCTTTCATCAACTTGCAAGGAGTCCAGATGGGCCCAGAGGGCGCGAAGGCTGTCGCAGCTGCTCTTCAGAGCAACAAGGTCATCAAAAAGATTATCCTGTGCCACAATCCCATCAGGGATGAGGGCACTGAGGCACTGGCTGAAGCTCTGAAGGTCAATGAGTCTGTAACGAGCATCGATTTTAGTGACGCTAGCTTTGGCTGCTCTTGGGCTATCAGGGCTCTGGCAGCTGCGCTGCAGACTACGCAGTGTGTCGCAGACATCAAGCTGTCTAACGCCAAGATCACCGATGACGGTGCCAGGGCACTTGCTGAAGCGCTGAGGGTCAACAAGTCTGTCGTGCACATGGACATGAGGGACAATAAAATCGGCCCAGAGGGTGCCAAGGCACTTGCAGAGGCGCTCAAGATCAATACGACAGTCTCACGCATCAACATGATGTCCAACAAGATGGGCTCAGAGGGCGCCAAGGCCTTCGCGGCTCTGCTGAAGACCAATCCGTCCGTGACAGAGATCAACCTGGCCTGTAACCACATCGACGATGAGGGCGCCGGGGCGCTTGCCGAAGGCTGAGAGACAGCACGTCCGTCGTCTTCGTGAGCTTGTGTCACAACATCATCGGCTCAGAAGCCACCAAGGCCCTGAAGGAAGCCGTGGAAGGGCGGAAGAAGAACCATCCGGCTTCGCCCCGATTGGAAGTGAAGCTACAAGTCTGAATGAGAAGGCACCAAGGCCCCGAAGGAAGCTGTGGCAGAGCGGAAGAAGAAATTGGAAGTGAAGCTACAAGTCTGAATGCGGCACTGGAGCTCAACTTCTCGGGTTTAGGAAGCGGAAGCAGGTGAAGTGTGTTGATCCCTAGGTGGTGAGCGTGGAGCCCGAAGCTCATCTTTCGAGCACAGGCACACCTGCAGCCTTGCGTGATTCTTGTATCCTCGAGGTCTTTGGGGTGGCGACTTTAGGGGTTTAGGGTTTAGGGGTGCTTAAGTTTCAGGCTATATTGGGCCAGCGCTTCTACCGGTGACGGTAAGTGGAAGAACCAGCAGATGGGGTCAGTATCCGAGTTTCAGAAAAACTCGGAGTTTATACTGGGGACCCTTCTTGTCTGAATCTCAGATGGTCTGGAGTTTTGTAACGTCTGTACTCGTTCGGCAATTGGTAGCGATCTTGACTATTGACCTGCCGTCAACACGACAAGGGCAGGGGTTGTTCGCGTTTGTTGTTGAATCGAATTGGCTGCTCAACTCAGCTTGTGTCTTATTATCTTGCTGTATGGTTCCTGTCTTGCAGCCGGTTGGTACTAGCTGTCAAAGAGTCAAGTTCAAGTAGTTAGTTTCATCGGCATATACTTTCATGTTATCATGATCATCAACATCATCTTCATGATTGGTGGTGGTGCATCGGCATCTTGCCCCATGTTTCCAAGCTTTTCGAAGCAATCTTGGGACGTAGATACGACGTACATGTACGGCTGAGACCTCAACCCCCACCTCAAAGTGGCACAGTTTCGTCTTAGGGGAACCCTTAAAGGAACACCTGTAGGCCCCTTTTTCAGGAACCCTTAGAGGAGCCCCGATCCGTACCCTTAAAGGAACCTTTGAGGGATTTGGGCTATCGTCACCTTCGGTGACTTGTGAAGGCAGCCAGCTCATTTTCCACGCAGTCGGCGAGGAGCACACCGACATTGTCAGGCCACGGAGCACGCTGCGCCACGTGTGGGCTGTTCCAGGTACAGAAACGATAAGATAATATAGTATAGAGTAGTTTAACATAAACTAGATTCTGCATGGCATGTCTTTTACCGAAGTTCACTCTGCTAGAGACGTCTACAATGCTGCGCAGATGATCCCTGAATAAGGACGCCCATAGATGCCTCAAGCCTTGCATCCCCCGAAGCCACATTCCATAAACTGCACCCCCCCTAGCATGGTTTAGGGTTTAGGGGAACAGCCAAAGTCATAAAGCTTCACCCCGCTCCGAAACGGCCCAACATCTACATAAGCCCAAGCAGAACCAGGCACTTGCCTCTGGTGCCCTCCGACCGAACACCACTGTCCGAGACGCTGGAATCTCTGCAGGAGGCTGGGCTTTCAGCTTCAGATTGCACGCTGGGGCTTTGAGTGTAGTAGAATTTAGGGCCGCAAGGCCCTAAACCCGAAAGGCTAAGCCGTTCCAGGTCCTTGTTTGGGTCGCCATCTTGCGGGCCCAGGTTTTGAAGGGCTGGTCACAACTTGGTCATATTTCGCGATCGCTGTGGCTAGACAGTACCGTCAGTCGTGAATGCACGGGACACAAGTGGAGGTGGCCGATGCTGACGAAGAAGATTTGGCAAACGGTCCAGGTGTTTAGCATATCTGAGCCCCAAAACCCGGAACCTTGAAACCGTTAATCCAAAAGCCCAAGCCTGATCCCAAAACCCAAATCCCAGATGTCTCCTCTTGAACCTGCCTGGGATGAACCCCAGGACCCTAAAAATTGAACCCCAAACCCTAAACCCTGAACCCCAAACCTTAAACCCTAAACCCTAAAACCCCAAACCCTAAACCCTAAAGCCTCTAAACCCTCTAAGCCCTCTAAGCCCTAAAACCCCAAAGCCGTTCCCTAAAAGCCCGCCGGCCGGACAGACCTACGAGCTTCCTGACTTCGACCTGGTGGTGCTGTCAGGCCTTTAGGTCCTTTTAGGGTTTACTGTTTAGGGATTAGAGTTTACGGTTTAGGGTTTAGGGTTTAGGGTCTAGGGTTTAAGGATTGATTTAGGGCCTTGTAGGGTTTAGGGTTTAGGGCTGTCAGGCCTTTGGGGTCTTTTAGGGTTTCAAGAGTCGGGGGTTCAGGGTTTAGAGGTTTAGGTTAGGGTTTAGGATTTAGGGTTAAGTCTTTTAAGAGTTGGGGGTTGAGGGTTTAGTTCAGGGTTTAGGGTCCGTTTAGGGTTCAAGATTGGTTGAGGGTTCAGGGGTTGAAGGCTGGCTTGGGGTTGAGGGCTGAGGGCTGACAAGTTCAGAGTCTCGGATTGATGGTTAGGGGTTGTAGGCTTCAGGTCCAAACCCCCCCCTCCCCGCACACCGTAGACACTCTACCCTAAACCTCCAAACGCTCAAGCCCAAATCGCTGAGGCTCCAATCGGTGCCAGCCGGTAAGGTTAATCTCAAGGCCTTATCTGGCATAATTATGTGGTCCCTTCATCGGCTAGCTTCAGGTTTTAGCATTCAGGGTGTAGGATCCGAGTTTAGGCTTTAGAGCTTAGGGTTGAGGGTGACCCGAAGTCCTTGTGGTCCCATGCGACAGTGCTTCCATCCAAGAAGGCTGTTTTTTTTTTTACAGTTTTGTCTTCCGCTGTTCTCGGCTCAACCCCCCCAAACCCTTATAAACCCTAAACCCTAAAAAGACCCTAAACCCTAAACCCTAATGCCCAGCCTGGCATGTGTTTCGCTCGGGTCCTCGGCTGCATCCTACACTGGTCCTACATGGTCCAACACTGTTCTGCAACGGCGGCTCTTGCCAGAAACATTTTCAACATGTGTCAGGTCTCAACGATGGGGTTGTCTGTAAAATCCAGGGTTTGCTTTTCGCGGTGGTGGGCAAGAATCAGCTCTTCTTGAGATAGGTGCGGTTGAGCCCCCATCTCCATCAGCCCCCATCCGAGCCCCGAAGCCACACCGAGCAGTCCACAGAGGAAGTCCCAAACCCTCACACGCAAACGCCGCCCTACGATGTCCAGGTGGAAGCCGAGACAAGCAGAGCGATGAGTTGCAGGCACGACTTGGTCACTCTCTGGCCCCGAGGTGTTGCTGTGGGCGCGTAGCTCTGTGTATCAAGCGGCCCACCTAGGCAGGGCCTTGGCCATTCAGGAAGCCGCCTGTTGGCGTCCATATACTCATACAGTATACATGTACATACAGACCTACCTACACACATGCAGTGACATGCCGACATGCATATGTGCCAGTGTCGTTGTTGTTGGATGGCCGGGCAGAGGTCAAGAGCAGAAGACAAGACGCAGCGTTTGTTTTGGTTGGGTTTAGAGTGTTAAGTTTCAGGGTTTTCGGGTTTAGTTTTTTAGGGTTTGAGGGTTAGCAGGGTTGAGGGCTAGAGTTAGTGTTTGGGTTCGTGTGCCGAAGGCCTTGATGAAGACAGGCTTGCTGCACAACGGCACCGTCGCCGGGGCCCGTGACGCCTTGTTGAGTTGGCCGTGACATCTGCCAGCAAGTAGACTAAGTAGACGTAGACTGTCTTGCTGCATTTAATATAGGGGCCTTATTAATTAGAACAGGGTTTGGGGGGTAGATTATACTGCAACTACCCAAAACCCTATTCCAATTATTAAGGCCCCTACATTGCTTTTGCACTCGTTGCTTCTCGTCTGTTGTTGTCTTCCGCGGGTGTTCGACGTGTGCCGGAAGCAGGAACCGGAGCCGTAGCAGCGCAGAAGCGGTTGCAGCACATGGAGAGAACACTGTCGTATAAGGACAGCTAGTTTTGAATCTTTATTATGAAGATTTTTAGCATTGTGCGTGCCAAGATGATTATCGATATCAGCATCATAATTATTCTCATTACTATTGTCAGAAGGCACGGGCTTAAAGTTTTTTTTTGGGACAAGCCTCAAGGGCAACACCCCTAAACCCTAAACCCGAAAGACATTCGAGGTGTCGGCACACGGACCCGGCAGCGAGCACGACACGACCGGCAGGCTTTGCGGCTCTGGGGTGGGGTCTGTCTTGGTGGTTGCAGGGATTTAAGGTTATGGGTTTAGGGTAAGTCCCTAAACCCTAAACCCCTAAACCCTTAAACCCCACACCCTTTAAAGTTTAGGGAGACGGCAAGCCCGGCATTGTGCCTCGCTCTTTCCGGCTTGGGCTTGGGACGCTCGCCTATGGGGAAGCTCGCTGTAGGACACGGAAACCGTAGAGCCAAACAAGGGCCTGCAAAAACCCTCAACGACCCCCAAGGCATGAAGCCCAAACGCCTGCAAAGCCAAGCCTTTCGGTAACGAACTGCCTTGGCATTTCTGTCACCTTGCCGATCAGCCGCCGCGCAGGTATCTTATGGGTCTAGGAAACCGCAGCTTTAACAACCAGGCCGGTCACGAGCTGCAGGGCCTTCGGCGGCCCAGTTGTGGTCTTTTTTTCAGACTTCAGTTTTGGGTTGCGATGAGACATCCTAAGATGCATTCAAGCTCGTGAAACTGGACTTGGGATTTGGGCGTACTGCGACAGGTCAAGCAGACATCTTGAGGGAGAGAAAACGTCTGACAGCCTAGACTTCACCGTGCTCTTGGTGCACTCAAAGCCGCTGCTCAGCTAGTTTACAATCAAGTCTGCCACAGCCCATCATAATATAGTGGTCTGAACAACAAAAGATGCCCCAAACGCTGTTCGAATTATAGAGGCCCACACATGTCAAGGTTTCGCGTCCCGGACTTTGTTGTTCGGTCGGTTTGAAGCCCATGGTGCAATGCTGTCATTGCTGTATTTGGGCTCACTTGGCCGTCACACCAGGGTTCATTCACCTAGCATGTCCTGTTCGTCAGACCCCCGTACTCAGAACCGGTCGTTTCAGGATGTCCAGCTAATAAACGACGGTTCGTAGACGACGCTCCACATACGCCAGGGTACATTTCCTAGCAGTTCATTCACGTTGACAAGCAAATCGTTTTGGCAGTTATTCTGAAATCCGCTAGTGTAAGCTTTCCCACCCCGTTAGTGTAAGCTTTTAAACTCCCTACAATGCCAAACTCACAAGCCAAAGTCCTATCCCCAACATAAAACGCAGTTGGTAACAGGCACCCCGACACCAATATCCCAGACCGAGACCTAGATGAAGAGGCCCCTGCCAGGTTCATGAGCTCGAGGATGGTTCAGCCGCGATCCTTTCCATCTACCGCCCTCGCTCCCGTGACGAGCTGTGAGAAAAAAACCGATTCAGGGCTCTGGGGGGTGTTTTGGGATTTAGGCACTATAGGAGTGAGAGGTGGGGGCTTGCCAGGATAGCCTTGATGTGCCGAGGAACCTGCAGAAGCTCCGAACCCCCAAAACCTCCGGGCGAGCTTCCTTCTTTCGGGCTGTGGTGGTTGCAACCTGCTGCTTCTACGATGATGGTAGTTACTGGTAGTTGTTGCTACCGGTCTCCCCAATCTCTTGCTGTCATCAAGGTACTGCTAGGCTTGTTTACATACCCGCCTAATTCGTGAAGGTCGAACGAGCTCTTTTGTATTCGGATCCGTTAGAACGTGGCATGGTGCGTATTTGTGTGATCCGATGCCAGCCGGCTTGCAGCGCAGCAAGTACCAAGCTTGCTCAGGCACTAACACTGCTTACCTCTCTCACTCTCTCTCTAGCTGTAGATTCCAAACGTCTGGCTCTCCTTCTCTGCATGTGCCAGATGCTTGTTTCCCGAATTACTGTGATTCGCCAGCGGTCGTTCCTAGTCCTTGTCAGTCTTTTCCTGGCCAGCCCCTTGCCGAGTTCTAGGGCCACAGGCTTTTGACCCGAAGCCCTACACCGTAAGCCATGACCTCAGAACCTAGGAACCCCAAAAGACCAGACATATGGCAAAGAGATGGGGATCTACGCTTTGCGTGCCTCTTCCGACACTCCGGGAGGCAGGCCTGCTTCCAAGAGAAACCTGAATAGATTACTTTGGCGTTAGGGTTGAAAGTTTAGGGTGGGGGTTAGGTTTGGGCTTGGAGTTTAGGGCTGGGTATTACTGTTACTAGTAGGATGTCGGGTTAGGACTTAGCACAGGGCTTTACTGCTCGCGTCTTGCCTAGGCGGTTGAACCGTGGCTTTTCTGTATGCTTTTGGAGGGTCCAGGGCTTGAAGGGCTTACGTTTCCTCACGGGATAGTAGTTTTTGGTATGCATTTTTTTTTGTGTGTCTTTGGCTTCTTGGCTTCTGGGCTTTCCTTCCTGTTCTGGCTTCTTGGCTTCTTAGCTTTCCTTCTTGGCTTGCTAACCTCTTGGCTTCTTGGCTTCCCGGCTTCCTGGCTTCTTCACGTTTCCAACTTCGTGGCTTCGCCTCGCTGGCCACACCTGCCCGGAAGAGGCCGAACTTGGCCATCTGTTCCCCCTCCTGCGTGAGCAAGGCGCGCCCCTCGAAATGCGAGCAATGCACCTGGTCCCTCCAGCAAGCTTACAACCTGCAGCAGCTCACGGGCCATCTTCCGTCGGAGGTGTTGCGCGAGAGCAATATGTTGGGGATTGTACAGGCCGTGTCCACTCATAAATCTCGTGGTCCAGCTGCCGAAGGGCCAGAGGCCAACGCTGTCCCACATCAAGTATAGCAGACTGAGGTCTCCTCATCATCATTGGGACGGGCTTGACAAGTGCCGACAGCCGCAGACTTCATCGCAGCGGCCTTGCAGAATTCATGCACTGGGTGCTGGGATACTCCTGTGTTCCGCTCTCTCTCGCCCAAGTGGCGCAGATCTTGCGGCGAAGCAAAGAGGGCTGCACGGTTCTGTAACTTCCGCAAGTCAAGGGCAAGTGACCCATGCAGCGGACGCAACACGGGTTGCCTGGTCGTCCTTCTTGCCTGCTACCAGCTTCACGCACAGCTTCTCGCGCGCTACTCCGCGTACCAGGTGTGTGATTCTTCGGCTCAGACACACTTGAAATGCCCAGAACAAACATTATGGCTCGAACATCCTGAAGCTTGGCAAGGAGCTGCATGTTCTCGTCTTCTTCTACATTTCTCCCACCAAGGTCTCACGCCAAGCAGTATCTTGCAAATTGCACTGCCTCAATGGCTTGCCACAGCAGATTGAAATTCCAGAATAACTTGCCCTTAAAGACAGCCTGGAGCATGCAAGTTCCCAATTGCTTGCCGCAAGACACAGGAAAACACAACACACTTAAGCTGTACTCCGCATCCTTTCCACAGCCATTCGTCTTAGGGCATTGAGGTTTCGGGTTTGTGGTGAGGGCTAGGGTTTTGGGGTTTCCTCGGGTTTCGGGGAACATGTATAGGCCTTGACCTTCTCTCTTGGAAGGTGTCGCAGTGAGATTTCGGAGCATTCGGGAGTTGGAGCGCATTGCCAGCGACAGCGGCAATGAACTCAATGTTAATACTAGCACGCACAAAGAAACTCAACAAACGTCTAGCTCTTCGCCAGCCCTTTTAAAAAGTCATACACTTCTTGAGGCAGAGCAACCCTGAACGGTAAACATCCGTAGAACAGGGCTTTTATTGAGACCCGGCGCCCCGCGTTCGAAGGGTCAAGGCCCGACACCCAGCATCATAACCGAAAGCCCCAAAGCCCCAAGCATTATCGTACCCTTCCAATGGACTTCCAAAATCCAACGAGAGGCACGAACACAGCACGTGGCGGATGCCGGCCTGCCTCCTCAGCACCTCGCCCGGAAAGGTCGGCCAGGCAGGGCGAGAGGGGATGATGAGGTTTGGAAAGTAAGGGGTTTAGCTTTGGGTTGGGGGCTTATGGCCTTCCAAAAAAGTTTAGGAGTCTTATTGGGTCTAGGAGTCTGGGATTTAGGGTTTTTTGGATTTAATCATGGCGACTTTCGGGTTTGTGGCAGGGGTCTCAAGGCATTTTCGGGCCGTGGGGGCGTTTGCCGGTTCTGGGGCCTGCATAGGGCTTTGATGGTGTTTGCGTGGGCTGGAGGAAACGGGGAATTAGTAGTGACAGCGCGAATGACAAAGTCTTGCTACTGTCAGGACTCTCCTCCATACCTCTTGCTTTTCATCCTGTCTGTCTATGCTCTTCCTTCGACACACAAGACATCCTCCCCCCTAGAAGCCTACACCTCAATCCCTACGCCCCAAACCCTCAGACGCCAAACCCTAAGCCCCTAAACTCCCGAACTCTAAACCCTAGGCCCTAAGCCCTCAACCTCCAAACCGCTAAGCCCTGAACTTCTAAAGCCCAAAACCCCGAACCCGAAACCCCCACCCAGAGCCCTTATCACTCTCACCAACTCTCAGCATGGAATCGGAGGACAGCCCTCTCCCAGAGTGAGCCGTTTGCGAGGGAGGCCCCACGCAGCGCGAGTTTCTCTACGAAGCCAGAGCTTGATTTGGGGTTTAGGAGTTTATTTGCGGTGTGGGATTCGGTTTACAGCTTAGGGGTTTTGGGTTTCGGGTTTATAGGTTTTTGCATTTAGGCTTTGATGGTTTCAGGGGCAGTGCGGGACTCTGGATTTTTCGTTGAGGGCTCATGGTTATATGGTTTGCAGAGTGTTTGCAGCTTCTCATGCGATTATAGCAAGCGGTCCCGGTCCTGGCTTGATCTGTATCTCTTGGAAGGGCAAACTTTCCCGAAAACCCTGGTCTTTTCGCCCTAGCTCTCCCTTCTAAAGCCCTAAACTGTGCATCGAGCGGTGCTTCAGAAACTACGGACTCTTGGCTCTTGTGGCATCACAAGCTCTGAACCCTTGCGCGCAAAGCCACCTCAACTCCAAAGGCAGTTTTGCTGCTTCATGCCCGCTGGCTTCTCGTGTTTTTGATGCCAGCTTGATTGCACGCTTAGATTCAGCCTGGCAGGTTACGGTTGTATCAGCTAAAGTTTTCAGCCGGGGGATTATGCATTATTCGACTGATCGCAAAGTTATGTCAGTTGTTGACTGTTGGCAGTCCGGAAACATTACTCAGGCTGATTGTTAAGCTTCTCTCTCACATGTTTCTGTATAGCAGGTGTGTTGGTGGTGTTGACGCATAATGACAAACCTTCTTGTGCATTGATATCAGTTGCTGTCAGCATACTTCATATTGGTGTTGTAGTTGATATCATCCAAACGTCGTTGAAGCCATGGCGACCGGGCTGACCTTCGTTGCCGTCCCTGCTAGAGGCCGCGTGGGGGAGGGGCAGCAACCGAGTGCAAAGCGAAGCACTTTTTTTTGTTGCAGGGCCTTCACACCCCTTCACTTCGGTTGAGGAGTTTAGGACTTCTATCTATGCCTCCCATTCCGAACATGCAAATTGTCCAAGTGTGCCCGAGTTCAATGTCTCATCGCACGTATGAATATTGGAAGTATTCCCAGTGAGGCTTAGTTGTCGAAGTCGTCAACCTCGTGGTGGTGGTGGTGGTGGTGGTGTGCGATGGTGGTGGCAATCGTCGTTGTCGTCGTCGTCTGCATGGTCGTCGTAGTCGTCGTCTCCGTCGGCGTTGTCTTTCTCGTCATCGTCCTCCTGATTGTCAGGCTACTGCTACTCCTCCTACTACTACTACTACCACCACTACTACCACTACTACTACTACTACTACTACTACTACTACCACGACTACGACTACTAC